GAAAGTAGATTCTGCTGAGAAGAGCCAGCAAAAACTCTACATACATATCTAACCCCTATGGCTATGACTTACAAACCTTTTGCCGATATTTTAGATACTAGTTCCAGCCGAGTGTGTATTTTTGATCAACTTTAAAAATAGTAAATATAATCAATTTGTGTGTATATGTTTGTGTAACGCGATATCTCCATTTATTGTAAGAGATTTTATTTGTAATGCCATCCCATACCTAAAAGTTTCAAAATTAAATCCCGTTCCTAACACCTACTTAAAATTTGAAATGATTTTCAATATTTTTTTTTAGTTATAATGCATTTTAGGATTAAAGCATGTTATGTTCTATTCTCGTAGATTTTTTTTATTCTCGCGACTACACACCGTACACCGTGTCCCGATAAAATCGTTTAAACCGTTCCAGGGACTAATTTATACAAACAAACTGACATTTTTACCAGCAATTCATGATTTTATATTACGTAAGTAAGTATAAGACCTACTTTTTATAAAAAAATAATAATTCAATTTCTTCTAGGAATAACTTTAGAGTAAAAAATAAGTTAACCAGAAAGTCTTTAGCCAACTCAATTAATTGCAAACCAACATCCCATTTAACGTGTAACATTTTCATATAAAACCTCTCTTTATGAAGTTTTCCCATATTAATTTTGAGAAGTGCACAGTGTTCTGCATAGCAACGGCCTGTTCTAGGCGGGTAGCGCTCAGAAAGCTAATGGAGTGCAACCGCAGGAATGTTGCCAAGAGCAGAGTATTGCACTCGACCTACATTTAGCCGCCCTCGCCCTACACGAGTTGCATTGTTTCTTTAATGCTCTAAAAGCCTTTTCACTTTCCAGTTTGCCTTCTTAAGGTCTGCTTATTTATTTTGTTATCGACGTTTATTGGCGCCATCATAGAACGCTCGACCGATATCGATAATTGGATTAATAATTTGATGTAATTATTCAACGGTTTATCGATTAATCATATAATAATAATGTTTTTAACATTTAGTTATTTTAAATTTATATTGTGATTTATTACCTTATAATCGTATATTGTCGATAATTGATTTATTTATTATGGTTATGCCATAAAATATTGTTTACAAAGGTCTGTGATCAAAAGATGCCTTTGAAAGATAATATTCACTTCGACAGTAATGTTTTGAATATTATGTTTATATACAAGCGACTCAACCTCGCTACGCTCTTGTTCGTCCCTTACTTAGTTACGTTTTAACGTTTAGTATAGACTTCTCAAAGATAAGATATTTTCCCGCAGTAAAAAGTATCCTATATGTTGACCCGGATAACCAGCTACCATCATACCAAATTTCGTCAAAATCTGTCCAGTGGTTTCCTCTGATGCGTTCCCAGACAGATAGAAAAACACAAAAAATCTAAAACTATAGATTCAGCCTCTGTATCAAAATTAATGACAATTTCAATAAGATTTTCCAAAAAATATTTAATGTACATATTCGACTCAGCTAGAATTTTATTATTTATGTATAGATTTCGTTTATATTCAATTATACAAATAACTAAAAGTTATAAATTATATATTATTATATGAAGAAATCCGTTCGGACATCGTATCTGCATTTGTTTGCAAGGCATTTACCAGCAACAATAGGGGGTCCCTTGTTCACAACCGTCGATGCCGAACGAAACGTAAAGAATGGGTGGAAAGTCGCCTTTCACAACGAACAATGGTTCGCACGGTTAGAACATAAACGGTTTATTGAAAACGTACTGCGAAACGGTAACGTGAAGACAGTACATGACACTTTTGGTTACGCGATACTGTACGGTCTTGTAGGAGTTAGATGCAATTATAGTCTGATTTTTAATTCGACGGAATTCTGACATTTCAGAAGTGTTGTCAACTTTGAAACATTGTCACTAAGAACGGAAAGCATTTTAGCAAAATAAAAAAAAACCTTTCTTGAAGTTAAGGTTTCAATTAGAAAAACTAAGACTTAAAAAATTATTGATAACTCTAAAATGGTATTTCTTTTATTATCATATTATTGAAGTTACAATAAATATTAAGGAAATTATTTTTCTATTACAGGAATCCCTGTCCAATAATCCATAGGTTGCAAGCCTTTTTTAGTAAAACTCCTTTGTTTGTAAAATATTTTGTTTTACTCTGTTTTATTCATTAAACCATTAAAAAATTTACATTATAGTTAGCGTGCATTGATTGCACAAAATAAAAACTATTTACAATGTCATGCATATAGTTTACTTGATCTAATTCTGTTTCATATTTTTTGTTATATTATATTAAGAAAATAAAAAGCAGAAAAGGTTTGTGATATCTGAATTGTCAAAGAATGATAGCTGTCATATTTCCGTGAAATTAAAATCAGACTATAAATACTTGTTTTAGACCGTTAAAAAGTTAACTTATGTATAATAAATGTTTTGTTTAAACTTTATAGGTATTTACCCGACTGCCAAGGAAAGGTTATGTTTTTCGCGCGTATCTCGGTTTTCTATGTAAGTATGTTTGAAATTTTTTTTATTACCTCGTATCTTCTAAACGGCTGGATGGATTGCGACAGTTAAGATATCGTTAGATTCATATAAAAAACCCAAGTGTCCTTACTAGGTCTTTTTTTTTAAAAAAAGTTTCTTAAATTTTTTTCAACCGAATCAGTTGAGTGGGGTATCGAAATACAGGTTTTTAAGAAGCGATTACAAACATATATACAACTTATATATTTAAAAGTAATTCAGAATAAGAAACTGTTAAATAAAATTAAAAAGGGACATACCCCACTCGATAGATAGGTTTGGAAGAAAAAAAATTTATACAAGGTACACAAATTGGCCATCGCGAAATCCGCCATTTTGATTTATAACGATATCCAATATCCATATAGTTATAGCCAATAACAATCGCGTTATCAAGACGAATCTAACGATGTATGGATGCATTACATAGTATTTACTATATAAACTTATATATATATATATAACATAGTATCGGACAGACAGACAGACATATATACATACAAGTCATACACATAACCTTTAGACTTCGCCGCAATCGGGTAATAAAAGTAGTTTTCTTTTCTCTTTAACTAGGTAAGTACGGACTACTTATTTCTATGTTCCATCCACCCCCACAAATAGTGCCTTACATAAACTGATACTAGGCGTGCATAAACGAAAAGAGATGTTTAGTACAAAAATTGGCGGTGGAAGGAGCTATAACAATTTATAGAGACGAGCCGTTATATGTGTATCTATCTATATGTTTTTATTTTATATATACTAGGAAAGTATAATCTGATAAGATATACTACATATAGTATGTAAGAGAGAAATATGAATTATTATGAAGGTCCAAACATCTATCCAACAAATTACATATACAACTTACGAGGTTTGTCTTACCTACAAAATAAAGAACCTTGTTAAGTTTTTTAACTGCCTAAAACTAAGTAAAATTAGAAAAACCCAGTCTTCTTCCACGTTAAAAGTTTTTACCAAAGATTTTCAGGAATGGAAAATTGTGTATTTGGGGGTTTTTTATCAATAATAATATTATAAAGAGGTAATGTTTGTGAGATTGTGAATTTGTGAGTTTGTGACGTTGTAGGGGTAAGGGTAATCTCTGGATCTACTAAGTCGATTTAGATGAAATTTGGTAAGAAGATAGTGAGAGACTTTTTATTTTATGGGGGATGAAAGTTTGCATGGGGAAGCAAGCCAGGGACGAACCCGAGCGAAGCGAGGGTGAGTCGCTAGTATAAAATAAAAAGTTACTTGTTCTAACCGTTTCATTTTGGTACAATATACATAATATAATTATTTTATAATCTAATAATATATTTTTTGTATTGCAATTTACTGTGCGTGCACCCGCGTTATAAATTTGTTTTATAAAAAAAAACCATATATCGTACTATTAATTCACAATTTAAAAAAGTACCTAGGGTATAAAGAAACCATCATGCTAGATTAACAAGAGGTATCCTAGATGTTGCTGAGATACTAGGACAACATAAACTATAGGATATCGTCGTATATGAATGTAACTGAGTAGATATATGTGCTAACATTTTTATTCAAGCTTTATGGTTACTAAGAAGTTGATACAAATCGATTGCTTACGTGAAAGTAAATATTTTTTTTGTCTATACTAATATTATAAAGAGGTAAAGTTTGTAAGTTTGTGAGATTGTAGGGGGTAATCTCTGGATCTACTGAACCGATTTAGATGAAATTTGGTAAGAAGATAGGTCGAGACCCTGGGAAGGACATAGGATACTTTTTATCCTAAGCATTGTCCCTTAAGAGGCTGAAAATGGGGATGAAAGTTTGTATGGGGAATCAAGCTAGAGGTAAAAAATAATCGTAATGAAATTTGGTATTTTTAGTACATATTTTACAACCTCGACTAGTTAAACTACAATGGTTAGTAAAATACAAAAAAATAGCAATAACACACTCTAACCACGTGACATAACGCCAGATGTAACGCTGTAATTTCATACACTTTTACTTTTTTTTATTGGCGATGACAATGAAATATTCTATCAATAAAATATCTATCTTAAGTCTTCTAATAGGCTTATATTCGCCCCTACTATATATTATGTCATTTTTAGGGTATACTCAAAGGGTAAAGCGGGACCCTATTACTGAGACTCAGCTGTCCGTCTGTCTGTCACCAGGCTTGTATGTCATGAACCGTGATAGTTAGACAGTTGAAATTTTCACAGATGATGTATTTTTGTTGCCGTTATAACAAAAAAATACTAAAAAACAGAATAAAATAAATATTTAAGAGGGGCTCCCATACAACAAACATGATTTTTTTGCTATTTTTATAGATAATGTTACGGAAACCTTCGTGCGCGAGTCCGACTCGCTCTTGGCCGGTTTTTTAATATTTTCTATTGGCGATATCGATATTGACTGTGTTTTGTATTTAATACAACAATGTATCTTATCGAGTCCTCAAAATCTACTAATATTTACCTCCTGGTTGCACTGCGAACAGAAGTCATGTCTGCACGTGGGACAGTGTGCGGGGCTCGCGGCGCGCACTTGGACCACAGTGTCACATCCCGGTCGGGGGCAAAACGCTCGCATTGCGTCCATTGCCACTTCTGAAAATAAGAAAAAAAAAGAATTATTTCAAGTAATTTCAATATATTATACAATACTATAACAAAATAATAAAACGTAATAAATAATTTTCAGGCAATCCAAAAGTAAACCGACTTCAAAATCACTTAAAATTTATTCCATCCTCGAGAGTAAAATATTTTGTTTTGGAATTTATAAGCGTAGCTACCTTGAAATATGATAACGTAATCAATAAAAAAGAAATACGAAAATAAGTTCACATCTCGTAACATATAAATAAATACATAAAAAAATCTTTTTAATATCGGTAAAAAGGGCCCATTCGGACATTCCTAAAAGAAACGTTTTCAAGTCGGTCCGTCGCTACCGGGGACTCGATATGTCACTTAAGTAGACTATTATATTATATTTGATGACCCTGCATCATATTATTAGCATCACTAATATTATTACAAAAACAGATAAAAATTCTGACCAAGAAGTATGTTAAAATGGCTTTTGTTAAAAATATTAAGGTCAATATAGTACAGTCACGGGCGTGCAATGACTCTACATTGATAAACAGATGTTTATGAATTTAAATACTTCCATGCACAAAACGTAACTCCTATATATCAGTCGTAATACGATATTTCATCCGAAAAGTGTGCTAAATTTTTTGCAAAGTTTTAATAATTAATCATTCGATAGCTATAATTCGTTAAATATAAAATTATGTTTTGACATTTTTGGGACCTGCAAATAAAAGTACCTATCTAAAACATTCGACTAAAAATATCGATTCCAGTTCTTTAAACATTGATAAAATTGTAGTATATTTGTAAATAGGATTGGCAAGGCGAAAGAAGAAACACGTCGATTCAAACCATGACTAATTTAGAACTATTATATATTGATAAGATTTTACAAAAAATATTTAATGTACAGATTCTACTCAGAATTTTATTAGTATATCTATACATATAGATATTAGATAGACTAAGGAAAAACCTTATAAGACCATAAATTATTATAAGAGGAAAATATGCATCTGCAATATTACAATTTATAGAATGTGTGAATCAATGTTACATATTGTATCTATGAGGATATACACTAGAGTAGCTAAGTAGAACAGATACGAGTACGTCAGGTAACTGTCTAAAGCTTAGTAAATTATTCTGAAACGAGAATATTACGTTTTGATTTTCTATATAATATATTACATCAACATTAGTATACAGTTCTTTTAAATCATTTTTATCCATAAACTAGACCTTTTAAAAAATTTAAATAAAACTTTTTTTTCGGATTTTTCCGCAGATTTATTTTCATTTTTGGTTCCCGATTATTTAAAATGTCAAATATTCGCGTAAATCTAAGAAAGTATAATGCCGAACTTGTTATTAACTGGATATCTATCCAGTTCTAATAGATCTTAGAACCAAATTCTCAATAAAAAAAAACATACATATGTACATACTTACAATATGAATATTATTACAACTAAAACACTTGATACTTTATAAGTTTTGCGATCACTATAGAAACCCACGCCTATATAAATGAAACATATTAAAAATATAAATAAATATAAAGATAAGGGAATCAATGTCTCTCGAATTGATTTTACTTCTTATTTCGTTACACAAAACAAAGTCTTGCAAAAATTGGAAGCTTACATAGTTATTGATTTGTAATCATTTTGCTCTTATAGTAGTTTATGTGATGTATTTTACAAATGAAAGTGAAACACGTATATGAACGAGTTCCGGTCGTTGACATTAATAAACTTGATTGGAAGACGTATCTGCAGTCGCTACTGCATTACACTTCCGCAAATGAGTAAGTGAATTAAACACAGCAACAAACATTTTTTTTTGTATATAAATGATAAAAATTATAACCTTCGCATTAAGTGTCCTTACTTGAGTATATTGCCAATGTAAAATATGTCTCTTTATCTGTTTGTTACCTCTTCAGGGTTAAAATGACAATTCAATTAGTATAGATTATTATACGAGAATCTGCAAGGATGTAAATGTATTTTGTGAAAGTTAATAAATATTTTTTAATTTAAATATTTTAAAAATATATAAAAAAATAACATGGCACTATCTATGTGCTAATAGGGAATATTCGTGTGATTTAAAAAAAGTAAAATATGTTTTTTTTTAATTTTTATTACTTTTGAATTATACCTATATTAATATCTTTTAATGTAATTTCTTTTTGATTAAGAGAATAATAATTATTGAAATGTGTAAATTATACAAATGGGAAATTCAAAGTAGTTGAAACGTAACGCCATTGCTCAGACCGAATATGACGTCAGAGTATCAGAGTCATAACAGGGCGATTAGCGATTTTTTCGCTACCAAAATATTGCTTCGTTAAAGCAAAAGTCGTCATTTCTCTGTGTATAAATATACAAATATTTAGTTTTTTAGAGCTGGATATTTTTTTTATAATTATATAACGATGTAAGGTATGGTATAAAAAATGAAAAAAATGACACATATTCCCTATTGTAAGCCTTTACCCTAAAACCTGAATGTTCGTCGTAGTAAAAGGAGACCGTAAATCAGTGACGGTTTATAAATAAAGTTTCTGTGTTTAATGGACTTTTAAATAAAACTTGAAAAAATTGAAGCGTACAGTATAAGAGACGGATAAATCTATACGTATAATAAAATTGTAACTAAGCCGAATCTGTACATTAAATATTTTTTAGAAAATCTTATTGAAATAGACTTTATTATCGATACAGAGGCCGAATCTATAGTTTTTAGAATTTCTGTCTGTCTGTCTTTCCGTCTGTCTGTCTGTCTGTTACCGCATCACGGGAAAGCCACTGGATAGATTTTGATGAAATTTGGTATGGTAATAGCTGGTTATCCGGGTCAACATATAGGATACTTTTTACCGCGGGAAAATATCTTATTTCTGAGAAAAAATACAAAAACTGCAATGTAAGAGTATACTAATATGTAAAACATAAGAATTTGGTTTTTGGTCATCTGAACGCGAGCGGAGCCGCGGGAAATGCTAGTATTAAATATATTTTAAGAGCTTCATAAACGGTTCAAGTATATCGTGATTAAATTTAAGAATGTACGTATTTTATGTAATTTTTAAAATATTCTTACTTTCTTTTCTTTTTTTAAATCAGCGATGTATCATGTACTATAGTGTAATTTCGAAGAAATGAACAAATTTATTATTAGAATAGCTCCTAGACTATACCTAATGTGAAGTTTGGATAAGGAATGGCGCTCTAACTCGACGTGAACTCTTGCCATACATTCACGCGACTCTAAGTAAATGAAATGATAAATCTACCTTACCATTATATACAGAGTTGCTATAGTATCGAGTTTAATTTTAGATTTGTGTCGTCTGGAAAATTTTATAACGTCTCTGCGAGTTAGAAAATTATTTGTACTTTCCTATCGTAAAACTAGGTTATAAAAATATTTTACGTGTCAAACTAAGTATATATGGACAACAAAATATAGTAAACATGAGTATGTTTATATATTAGAGCTACAGGATGGATGCTGACGTAAAGTATTATACTTAAGGTAGATCATAAAATATATAACAAATATTTGGATAAGAGAAAATTGAAGAGATATTGAGGTATTTTTGTTTAAAGTTAGAAAGCTATTTTAAAATGAACTCTATCAAAAAATATGAATTTAATTCAACATTATTTGTCGTAAAACCTCAGTGATAAATATTTAATTAATAAATTGTAATTTTTCAACTTAAACGCTACTATTTGTGATTTTTATAAATTAAAAAATAAATGGGTTATATACAGTATTATGTTAAAGCACAACATATATTTAACATGAATAAATGACCGTTGCAAAAACGACTTGAGTGTATAAATTAGTTTTTATATGGTCTTTGTTTTTATGTATAATTGTTTCTTCTTTTCTTGACATTTACACTACATAATGTACGTAATAATATTTTTAATTTATAACTAGCGTCTCTACATAGATTATATTTTCCAATCAAACTAATATTCCAACCGCATTTTTACCTATAACATAGTAACGTAAAGGAATTGACGTTTATGAAAAACAATTTAAAACAAAAAAGACACTCTAGCTCTTGGACTATATTCCATGGGACTAAGGAATTCGAAGTAACTCAATTAGTCAGTTCAATTATGACATAACTTCACAGAGAATATTAAAAAGTAATTTGTGCTAGGTAATTGAATTAGGATATTGGATATAGTTTAAGAGACGTAGAACTAATAATTACAATATCCTTGTAGGTACTACCACGTTTAGTTACTATATAAAGTAAAAATATATATGTAATAACTGCATTTAAATTTTAATACTTCAAGTAACTGTAAAATTTTCCAGCTTATTTAAAATATCAAATTTTATATGTCAGATATTCCCAATATAATAATAAAATTTGATATTAAAGAATAAAATACATTCCAGAAAATATTTTTACAGTTAAGTTGGACTAATAAAAATAAAATTTTATAGTATTTTCCATGTAGTTTCATATAACATTGTTTTCAACTGTTGAAATATATTTTATACGCTATTGTAGATCTAATAAGAAACGTCTCAACGGAGTATCCGTCGCAAGGAACGCAAAGTAATAGAATTTTATAAATCCACTGTACCTCCACCTTCCACCTTAACAAGTTCTGAATATATTTCTTATTTTAATAGAATAATATGAATTAAAAATGAATTCTTCACATTGCTTTTGTTAATATAGGAGGGTCCACCCAAGGCGATAGCATGTGTCTATCTCCTTACATCCAACATAACTATTTTTATCTATTCAAAGTTCGCCAAAGTCAATATTTTTGTTGTATAACTAGCGCCTATCAACTGTACAAACATTCCACAGGAACTATGTAATACATCATACATATAGAGTACCAGAATAAAAATTACTCACTACTCAATGTACTTCAATGGATCAATATGTCTATGCAAAAAAAAAATCTGTCGTCCATTATTATAAGAAAATAAGATGATCAAACTAACAAACA